AAAATCTTATTTTTTTGAGAGAATTGAGAATATCTATTAAATATTTTATTATGATTTCCTTTTCCAAAATGCAGATGTAAAAGCTCTATGAGAGTTTTATCAGGGCTATTTTTTGTTTTTAATTTTTTTCATGGAAAACTTCAGACACATACAAAATGGTAAAATGCATCTTCATGCATCACCAAGCCACACTAATAGTTTCATTTTCTTGGAATGCTCTTCCACTAGAGATATCACAAGGTTCGCTTCCTCACACCTTTCAGAATTTAACTCAAATGATAACTCAGCGAGACCTTCTGTGACCATTCTATTTAAAACTGCACCCCAACACTCCCTCTATCCTTTCCCTTTCTCACTTTTCACCGTAATATTATCTTTTAACATATTATAATTTTTAAATATTTTATTTCTGGTCTGCTCACAATCTAACAGACTACATGATAATAGACTACATGAAGGCAAAGATTAGCAAATGTTTTGTTTATTGATACATATCAGTACCTAGAACAGTGCCTGACACATAGAAGGGCTTAATAAATAGACAATGATCAAATGAATATATATTGGTATGGAGAGATGTCTATGATAAATTAAGTTAAAAAAAAAGAAACAGAAAAATTGCAACACAGGTTAGATACTATTATACCATGCTGGGGGAAAAAAGTGGGTTATGACAGATGTAGTAGCACTCACCAAATATCACTCCATATTTCCCAGCTCACTTGTAGTTAGGCAGGGCTATGATTACTTATTATGGCCAATAAACTGTGAGTGGAAGTAAAGTATGTTAATTATGGGCTGAGACAGTAAAAAGTCCATGTGTGATATTTTATTCTCTTTTCATAGCTATGGTTACTAGAGATGTCATGTATTCAGAGTTTGAACACAACACGGTGGAATCTTCCTTAGTCTGGGTCCCTGAATGACTTCATGGAGAAACTGCCCCACCAATCTGTGTAAAACATGCAGCTAGCAAGAAATAAACTTTTGTTATGTTAAGCCACTGAAATTTCAGGAGTTGTTTATTATTGAAACATAATCTTGCTTATCCTGACTGTTACAAATACTAGGCACTTAAAGAACTGAAAGATAATACAAATCTTTCCATGAACTTTTTGAAGTACCCTCATGCACGTACACAAACTAGCATTTCTTAAGCATGTACTATACCCTAGGAGCTATACTGAACACTTTATATATATTGTTTTATTAAACTCTCATAAAACCCGGCGAGCCAGTACTTTTATACTAAGATGAGGAAACTGAGACAGTGTGAGGATAAGAAATTTGTCCAAGGCTACCAGCTAAATGAAAGAGTTGGAAATGAAACCCAGGCAGTCTGGAGAAACATCTACCAAGTTGTTAACAGAGTTTACCCTTGAGGGCAGGATTACGGGGACTGATCACTTTGTTCTATATTTCTGAAATGTTTCAAGTTTACCAGCTAAATGAAAGAGTTGGAAATGAAACCCAGGCAGTCTGGAGAAACATCTACCAAGTTGTTAACAGAGTTTACGCTTGAGGGCAGGATTACGGGGACTGATCACTTTGTTCTATATTTCTGAAATGTTTCAAGTTTTCAAACAAGCATGCATTACCTTTGTAGTAGGCAATAAACAAACAAATAGATAAACTATCTGTGAGATTCTTAAAGACTGAATTGAGAGATGGAAGTCAGGTGATCTCTGGAGCTTGGCATAATCAAGGAATTTCTAACAATGACTTTCTACCATCTATAGGCATACCTGGTTTTATAGGTGAATCCCAGCAAGTAAGGTGAACTATACTATATTTCACAATCAAATTGGATTAGTTCTCCAGGGGGGAAATACTCCTATATGTTTTAACTTTTGGCAAGAAAAAAATTACTAAAATGGCCATGCCCATGGGAGGATGAATGTTGTGGTTCTGGGAATGTTTTCTGGATTCTCCAGTACTTAATATTTTTCTTTAAAAGAAAACAAATAATAAGACAATATCTTATAGTTAAAAAATAACTTCATTAAATGTATATTTTGCATGTTCCACACACTCAGTCATATCAAACAAAGTACATATGGCATAATAATATCATATAATAATCAAGCGTTTATGTAGCTTTTCTGGCTGCCCAGGATCTGAATCTCCATTTTAGGAATTTGATATTGTATGACTCTTGACAGGAGAAAACTGAAAGGCTAAAATGTTAGTTGTCCCAGACCCCAGGCAGATAGGCAGCATGCTTGTCACCTGAGTACAGTGCTGTGAGGGTGAGTATCCTGGAGCAGCAATCTAACCAAGCTATCCTATAGGAAGAACTTGGCTATATTCTTGGCTGCCTAGACTCTCTTGGCCTCTACCATTTTCTGAGCCTGGTTCTCCAGCCCTCTCATTGATTCTGTAAACTAACAGAGTTAGCTTATTTTGCTTGGAAGCAAGAACCTGACTACCAAGCAGTAACTACTGGAAGCTATATAATTTGAAGGCATAGTATCTAGGAGAAAATGAGTCATCTTTGAAGGACTAAATAATAAAAACTGAATCTATAAATGTGATAATAAATATCATAAAAGCACTTTGACTAGCTCTGAGATTTCTCCCACGTTTAATCTTTTGCTTCCTTTCCAGGAATTTGTGTCATTTGACTATTCCCTAACTCCACACATAGATCTCCCTAAGCTTAACTCTCATCTTTCACTTATAATATCAGATTTTCAAAAATGTGTCATTATATATAACACGATCTACTCAAGAGTAAAAATGCTTTAAATTTGTGGTTTAATGTTATAGAAAACAAATTGCTGAACTATTTTATTAAGTTCTTAAGTTCAAAGTCTAAAAACAAACATAGCCCCACCCATAAGAAAAGGAAAATTACCTGAGTATCATTTCCCTTATGAAAATAATAATGCCCATGTTATCTCACAGCATTCATATGAGGATCAAATGAGATACTTTATGAACCTGTTTAGATAATTATTCTTTAAGGTCTACAGCATATTTCATCAAATCTTACATCCATTGTATGACACACCATAAGTTTATATACCATTGAGAAAGAAACAATGTGGCCAGTTTAAAACTATAATACTTGCTTTCTTATCACTTGGAACTTTTTAAACCTAGTAAAAGATCTTGTTTATATTTAATTAGATATGGATTGTTATATCTAATTCTTGTGTAAACATTAACAGGAAAATGTAAATGGAATAAATTAGTTAAGGTATTCTTATACTTCTCATTGAGTCCAACACTCCTGAATCATTTCTCAATTCAATCATTGATATCCATGTTTTTCCACATAATGGCATTATCTGTGTTATCAAGAATACTGGAGATGACAATTTCTTAAAAGAATCCACAAAGTAAATAAAAATCACCAAAGGACACACAAATGGTTCCACTAACCCAGAAGTTGAGACTGTCACCTGGCTACCTTGGGCTCATCACTGCCAAGTGAACCAACAGGCAAAGAACAGGGTTAACTGTACTGGCCAGGGTGACTGATCTTGACTATTAAGGAGAGATCGGTTTCCTATGGAACAAGTGGGGAAAGAAGAGTATGCAAGAGATGTCTTGGGGTACCTCTTGGAATGCCTATGTTCTGTGATTTTATCAGTATGTTTCACTCTTTGCTAAATTATAAAATGTACAGGATTCTGTTGCTCAGGAGAAAAGCACTGAAAATATTTGACCAGAAGTGTGATAAGAAAATAGGGCTATATGTTTAAGATTAGTGGTGCATACATGGGTGTTTTTACGCCTTATATGTTCTTTTGTATGTATGAGGATAGAAATAGGGATAAATATAGAGAAGTGGATGCCATTACCACCACCGAATAAGAATATTTTAGCCTTTCGGTTGATGTTTAAAGTTATGAAAATGCATGAATCAGTGAAGGAGTTAACTGAAATTTAAATCTCACAAATGAGCAGAAAATATAATTTCTGGTAAACGATCTATTAGGTTAATTCTTTGAACACTATTGCTTAAGAATAAAATACTTTGCAATTTCAATAAATTGAAAATTATGGGACAAGGCAAAGATGGAAAACTACTAGCTATGTGAGTTTTATAAATTTCTTAACATCTCTTAACCTCTGTTTCTAATCTGTAAAATGGGGACAAGTGCTACTTAGGTAAAACACTTCGGAAACGGGAGCTCAGAGAAGTCGCTGTTCTTCTCCTAAACCAGGGTTTGTCAACCTCAGCATTACTGACATTTCCAGTCAGGTAATTCTTTTGGAGCGCTGTCCTGTGCATTCTAAGACGTTTAGTAGCATTCCTGGCCTCTGTCCACCTCTGTCCTGTACCATCTGGAGATGCCAGTAGCACCTCTCCAGATGTGAGGTTGAAAAGTGCTTCAGACATTGCCAAGTGTCTCCTCGGAAGCAAAATCCCTGCAGTTGAGAACCACTGTCCTAATCCCAGGTTCATCCAGAAAGGGTTGAAGGAGAAATAAAACAGCCCAGAAGCAGTAGAATGCAGTGGCCCCAACTCATAAGATCCATGAAGGCAGGAACTATGACTCAGAAACCCGGGGATGGGGAGCTTTAAACCGCCAGATTAGTCAAAATCCCAATTAACGATTGAATGGTGAGGGGAGGGGCAACAAGGGACAAATGGAGAGGGCAGGAGACCGACCGCTCGGTCTCTGAGAGTCAGAGGCCCACACTTACGCAGCTTAGCCGACGCCTGGGTACGTTTCTTCCCAGATACACCCAGACAGCGACGCCGCGGGAAAGGCCGCAGGGAGCGCGGGGGCGCGTCTGGAGGGCGCTGGGCGGCGCAGGGCGCGGACGGCTGACGCTAGCCGCAGGCTCCGCCCCGTCCTGCAGCCCCGACCCAGCCCTCGGAGCGCTAGCGGGTGGTGCCTCGGTCCGCGCCCGCCTGCGCGCCGCCCTGCGTGAGCAGGCAGGGGCGGAGTGGAGGCGTTGGCGCTGCCACGTCCGGGCCCCGGTTCCTGACTGTGGCGCGGGAGGTGGAGGAGGAGGTGGGGCTGGAGCTGAAGCCGGATCCGAATCCGGTTCCGGTGCTGTTTCCTCCGGCGGCGGAGAGTCCAACGCGTCTGGCGGGGAGCGCAGACGGCGTGGCCTCCACCGGTGAGGAAGGGCTGGGGGCCGGGGAGTGAGAGCGCGGCGGGTGTCCGGGGGCCACCGGGGGCCTGTCTTCAGGGTTTCTCAAGCAGGTGTGTGTTTGCTCCCCGGAGGGAGGCGGGATGGATCCTTGAGGGGGTTCTGCTGGCGAGCCGGGCTTTTATCCTCGCCAACACATGGGGTGTAGAGGGCGGTTCCGAGGAAGTTGAACGGACACGAGCCTGGAGCAAAGGTTAAGGATGGCCAGCGGTCCGGCCAGCCAGGGGTCCTGGCCTGGCAGGGCAGGGACAGGGATTGGGGTCGGAACTTCGCTCACTGGGCTTTGGCGTGCGAGATCGCGACAGCTGCCTCCGGTGTCTGCAGCCATCAGTTTTGAATGGACACTAACGCCCCAGGCCCCCTCTCCCCGTCCATCCCACGGTGGTCGGGAGAAGCTCCGAAGATCACCTGCACTGACTGGATCCGGGCTTTTGCCGGGGGAGAGGGCCATTCTTTGTCTCTTTTGGGGCTTCTATTCCTAGAAACACCGAGTACTGTGATTTGTTTATGTAAGCCGAACTCTTAAAAAAAATTTCGTACAAAATCGAACGGGTGAGTATGGGATTCGTTTTGTTAGGATAATCACTCATGAACAAATCCAAGAGTGGATCTCAAGAAAATCATTTAGATCTCTGTAGGTTGGATTCGCTGGATAGGGCAAACAGAGCTACCTGTCTGGTACAGTGACATAAAGATTGGCGTCTATGGAGTAGGTATTGTAGAGCCAAGATGGGAAAACAGGGTAAGAGGATTCTTAGTCCCAATTCGCTCATTTGCTGTGTTACCTTGGGGCAAGTCTTGGAAGTTCCATGTGCACTAGCTTCCTCATGGGTTGACTGGTAATAACACCAATGTAAAGATCAAGTTAACTATCAGAAAATACTTCTGAAAATTCTTGCAAGTGCACAATTTCACAAACATGGCCAGGCCTGTTAAAATCAGCAACGAATGAAATGTTCTTTAGATTAAAAATGTACTCAATTTATTATCAAATGCATATAGATAGACCAATACTAATGTCTCGAACAGCACCAGTCCCGCCACCCTTCCCTCACCCCACGTACTGAAGATACCCCAGCAGCTCTTGAGTGAGATAAATATATATGGCAGTTTAGATTTGGCCTTCCACTGTTTTTAAAATTTGTATATCGACTTTTAAAAATCTTCATCTTCAGTGTCTATTACTTGCTACTGTCAGTTGCTTGCTTCTAGCAGCATCTTCTCTCCCATCTGCATACAGAGGCTGAGAAACCAAATTGTTGAACTTGTGACTTAAAAACAATTGAGTGAATACCTGATGCGATACTAGTAAAAATGAGTTTGGCATATGGTTTTTATGATATCATTTGTGCAGCTTGGGAATCTTTTTCTTCTGGATTTTCTGAAATGTGACCTCCATATTAATCTTATATGATTCCTTATTCATTCACTAGGCATTTATTGGGCTAGGGTTAGGCATATGCCTTGTATATACATGCTAATTTAGCAGTTAAACAAGAGGTTCACCAGGGAAATTTAAGGAAGGTTAGGGCTTACTTTTTAAAATTAATCTAAAAATCAAAAAAATTAAACTCTAATGATAAGGATGGGATTGAAACAACTGTGCAATTTTATTTACTGAAATTTCCTAGTTTTGCAGTATCTGGGGGCAGCTTAAATGTTAAAATATTATTTTGTAGACTAAATTAATCTAAAAATCAAAAAAATTAAACTCTAATGATAAGGATGGGATTGAAACAACTGTGCAATTTTATTTACGGAAATTTCCTAGTTTTGCAGTATCTGGGGGCAGCTTAAATGTTAAAATATTATTTTGTAGACCAAATAAAATTACCTATTTAGTTCTTTTCTAAAATCCCTTGGACTTTGATATCAAATCACTCCTTGCTTTTATCTTGCCCAGCATGATAGTTGGGCACTGCAGAATTTTACTATTGGAGGACAGGGTGAGATAAAGTGAGCCTTAAAGCATGGCTCTGTTTTGTAAAATAGCCCATGAAAACACTTTGATATTAATTTCTGGTTGCCCAGTTAATGGATTCTTATTTCTATCCAGAATGCTTTAATGTATTTAGATTATTCTGAAATTCTCACTTTCCAAATATTGGTTCTATGCTTTTGATTAAATTTTTAACCCTTGTACAACAGTAAAACAGGGAATTCATCGACACTAGGGCATCTTCAGTGTCATCTTCACGTCATGTCATGCTAAGAACACAGAGTCTAAGTCATACTGCCTAGCAGGACTGGTTTGTGGTAACCTGCGCAAAATTAAAATGTAGGGCTCTTCGTTAAAAAACTAAGAATTTCAAAACAGTGGCAGCAGAGTATCAAACTAACTGCAGGGCCCTGTGCAACTGCACAGGTCCAGCCCTTGTGAAGCTTCCCCCGTTGCCTTGTTTTGAATCCTAACTCTTTTCCTTATTGGGACTGTAACCTTGAGCAAGTTACTATGCCTGCTTCCTTGTCTGTAAAGTGGGGATAATAATGATACATCTTTCATTGTATTTTAACATTGTATTTTTCCAAGTTAACAAATATAAAAGTAATTTTTAGCCAATATTATTCTTATGATCTTCATGGAATAGGACCATCTGGTAAAGAAAAGCACAGGAAAATATTTACTGGTTGAAATTCATTAGTTAAAGGCTTTATAATCCTAATTCTTCTTCTGTATACCTGTACCTTCTCTCTCATGAAAATTAACATAAACCCTACTTTTCATGTTTTTGAGGCTACATTTTATTGTAAACTCAGGCAACTTTACAGGAAAAAGGAATCTAGTTAACTTTAAATTTTGTTAATGTTCATCTAAATTCCCTTTTGAGCTTTCTTTAAACCTCATACTTACAACTATATCTTAAATAGCATGATCAAAATGTTTAGTGTGTTGCGTTGGGGAACTTAAGTTTTTAATACTTTCTGGCTCCTCCATTTAATGTACACATTTTACTTTATCTGCATACCTGAAAAACAACAATGTCATTACCCATCTTTAGATGAGACTACACACAAAAGCCTCAGAGGTCTATTTATCAGGGACAAACACTAAAATGCATGCACTGAAATTAACCTATAAAAAAACCTGCTTCAAATGGGTGGTTAGCTTGTTAAGTTTTATATGAATGATTGTTTAATCACAATTTATATCCTTTCCTTTCTTAGAACTAGGTATAGCGCTTATAGCAGAACTTGATCTGAATACTTTTTGAGGAAAAAACCTCTACATAATAAACTATGGTTTTACTCTTTTCCATCCAAGAATGCTAACTTTGGTTTTAATATAAACATGATAATCTGTCATTCTTTTTGTAGATCTTGTACCTAGCACAGTGCCTCATTCATAAATTAAAGGTGAAAAGAACAAGAATTTATAAACTTGAACTTTACATTTATTGCTAACTAGAATATATTTTGTTGAGGACTTGAAGCGTGCCAGCACACTTCATACATACAGTAATTCATTTCATCCTTCCAATAGTTTCATCTTCATTTTACAAATGAGGAAATAAAATTCTAAGAGCTAATTACCTTAGCCAAGATCACACAGTTAACATGTGAACTAAAGGTCTGACTCCAAAGCCCATGCTCTTTCTATGCGTAGGTTTCAATCCTGGCTCTGCTAATGGTGTGACTTTGGGCAAGTTACTGAACATCTCCATGCCCGCATTTCCTCAACTGTTAAAATGGAGATTATAATCATACCCTCTCTGTAGGACTGTTGAAGTAAATGAGTTGGTAATGTCTTAAAAGTTCTCTGAACAGTGCCAAGAACATAATAAATGCTAAGTGGTAACTTCTATTATTACACCACACTACCTTCCCAAAGCCTATACTATTCTGCATCATTACATATCAGGCAGAAATTTAATCTACTTTTAAGGAAAAGTTAAGAATATTTGCCCTAAAGTACGTTGTGATTTATGAAGTAGGGAACATCTGGGAGTTAAGTTATTGGGAAAATTGTTCTCTCATTAAAATATAGTTTCTTTAACTGGTTATAGGAATAGAAATCAGGAGCTGCTTTATAGTCTCCTAATGGTTAGAAAGACCTTATTTCTTCTAGCAATTTTGTGCTCCACAGAGGTGTTCCCCCCACCCCCTAGTTTATGCTTTATATAATTTGTTTTTCATCCCTCCTGTCATTGTAATATCTCTATTATTTAGTCTCAGTTTTAGTAAACCACAACTAGTGAGAACCTGACCATTTCTGAATGTTCAAAAGAGGGGGAAATAACATAAGTGATCATTTTTCAGTAACATGAAAAACACTGGCTATTCTTAAACTGCTTAGATGCAGCTGAGAAACTTCTAGATTTATAGAAAACCTTTTGTGAAAACAAAATCCAGCAGACATTTGTAGTGTATATCTATCATACTGAGGCTAAATATTACTGTAAATACATGGAATAGTTAATTTGAGCCAGTTCATCAATTACCTTCTGTTCATGGTTCATATATTTAAATAAGTCTTCTTTAGTGGCAAGTAAGACTGATAAATGATTTCTTAACCCAGTAATAAAATCTAAGAATGTAATCTAAAAAAATGCAAGAGCCCATGAAGTCCTCTATTAACACTGCTATGCTTGCTAGTCGCACCAACCCACAGGAAAAAATGTTTTACAAGATCTGCTTAGGGGGGCCAGCCTGTGGCTCACTCGGGAGAGTGCAGTGCTGATAACACCAAGGCCATGGGTTCGAATCCTATATAGGGATGGCTGGTTTGCTCACTGGGTGAGCGTGGTGCTGACAACACCAAGTCAAGGGTTAAGATCCCCTTACCGGTCATCTTTAAAAAAAAAAAAGAAAAGAAAAAAAAATCTGCTAGGGGCTGGTTCCATTTTTCTATGTATCTGTAGTTGTAGCATTTGATGCCAGATTCAGGATAGACTAAAGTAAAATATCTTGCATATTTGTTAAAGAATGCTTCTAACTGCATTAGATTATACTGAGAAATTAACTTTCTCACCACTCAATTTTCCTTCTATTAAATAAAATACCTTAACATTTAAAATTTTATTTTAGAACTTACTGGAAAGATGAAACCTGATGAAACTCCTATGTTTGACCCAAGTCTACTCAAAGAAGTGGACTGGAGTCAGAATACAGCTACATTTTCTCCAGCCATTTCCCCAACACATCCTGGAGAAGGCCTGGTTTTGAGGCCTCTTTGTACTGCTGACTTAAATAGAGGTATGGACTCGCTTAGTTTACAGCTCCTAATTAGAATTATAGTTAGCCTTCTATTTTCTCCATAAACATTATGATGCCAGTAATTTTTAGAAATATTTGACCTTTAGACTATTTTTTTGTATTTAATTTTTAAAGTGACTGGGACACTCAATTTCAATGTGTGTGTCATGGCTAAGACATATATTACCGTGAAATATTTCAAATGACAGAAATACAACAGTGCTCCTTCCTAATTAAGCCAGAAAGTTTTCTCATAAACAAAGGTGAAATTAACCATGTAAAATGAAATAAGGAAACATCTTCTCTAAGACACTGGATGATGAATGGCGATTTTCCTTGGATTAGTTGAAAGGGTTTTGTCTACATCTATTTCTTTTTTTAACATTCAAATTCTCTAAAATAATTTCTTTAAACTTTGGTAATTAAAAGTCAACTTTTTACCTTTCACAGTTTTCTTTTTGGCAGAAAATCTGAAGGAACTAATTTTGGTCAAATTAATTATTGGGTGTAGAAAAGTTAAGATTCTCAAAGTTCTAAATATGCTGTTCACATTAATTTAACACAACATTAATGAATTTAACTAGGAATCTATATTTTCAACAATGTTATATTATTTATACTTTATTTTACAAATACTGTCATATTTGGTCATAGTGAGAATCTTGTACTTTTATGCAAAATCAAATCGTGTGCATTGAACTTAATGCAAATTACACTGAAAAATGTATGTGCTGGTTCTATAAATATTGGATATTAAGGTCAGCACTATTCTAAAAATCAATGCAGGCAAAAACAGTGGTAAACCTATTGATCTTTGTTATGTGTAGTTATATAGAAAGCAATACGTTTAATTTTTTAAAATAATAAAATAATTAAAAGATGATTCATTATGGAAAGCTTTGAAAAAATAATTGCCCATAATCCCACCAACTTAACAAAATGCTTTTCGTATTATATCTTCTGTTGCTCTTCTCATGACTTGAAATGGTTTTCAAAATAGGTTTTTTTAAAGTCCTGGGTCAGCTGACCGAGACTGGAGTTGTCAACCCTGAACAATTTATGAGTAAGTACTGCAGCCTCTTTTTCTTGAAAAGAAATAATGGGAAACAAGATTTTGTTTAGAACTCTGTTCAGTGCCTACTTGTATTTTTTTTCAAATAGCTGAAAGTAATTCAAATAATAAATTAGCTATTTTCTTATTTAAATGTTTAATTTGGATGAGTTGTTCTAGAATCCAAATGTAGCAATTACCTTGTTTTGCAAAATACCTGACTACTATTGGATAATTACTATAGCATAGGGCCTGGGTGGCAGATCTAGAGATTTTTCATTTTATATTGTAGTATTTCTTTTCATGTGGTTATTCACAGAAATTTCATCACCAAATCAAAAATGTAATAGCATATGTTCTAAATTTATAAGATTAGCAGATATCTGCGAGTTAGTACAATCCCCCCTTTTTTTAGACACATGATAAAATGGAAATCCAGAGAGATCCAATGACTTACCCAAGATTACAGTATTGATAAGGAAAGGACTAGAACCTTTTTAACTACAGTGTCCACTGCTCCAAAACTGCCTTTTTCTATTTTCTATAATTCATTTCCTTTAGTAGGTAATTTTGTTTTGTACTCTATCTAACCCCCTTGAGAATGAAGACGATCACTCTCTTATTCTCACTGTTTTCCTTCATTTATTTCTTCTTCCCACTTCAGACCCTAATCTAGGATGAGACTGTGGAAATAAACAATGAGAGAGAAGGGGAAAAAAGAAAAAAGAGCAGAACAACAACCACAAAACAAGAAATAAACAGTGAGAGACTATTAGGCTCAGGGGTTTTTTTTGGGTTTGGGTTTTTTTTTTTTTTTTGCAGCTGGCAGGTACTGGGATCCAAACTCTTGACCTTGCTGTTTTTAGCAGCATGCTGTCCCAACTGAGCTAACTGGCCAGTCCCAGGTTCAGTTTTTTATTCCTGAATTCCTCTTCGTGTGCATATCAGATTAGATGAGAAACCATGTTATTTTAGTAACATAAGTACTAAAAATCAATTTGAGGAGAAATTATCTTCGCTCTTATTTGCTATGTGACTTTGAGAAACCTACTTAGAAATGGAGAGATTGTTTTCAACTACTTTGCAAGCTACTTTCAAAGCAGACAAAAACAGTGATTGTTTCTAAAAGAGCAGGTCATGTAATCATGAAGCTCTTGTTATCACAAAGGGAAAATTGAAAACTATTTTGTCAAAAGTATTTTGAAACCAAAAATTACAGAATGGAGCCATATAAACACGTTCATTAAAATTTGCAGTTTTGCTCTGTCGAGTGGAAAGCTTAAAGAAATATATTTTAAGTTACTAAATAAGATATTGAAGTTTTCATTCATTAGTCATAGAAATAGCAACAGTTACAATTTATCTGCATTATAAGTGCTGTTCATCTAAAATAGCTGTATTAGTCTTACTTTATTTTGCTAGCAGATATCTTAAACGTCTGGACTGTATTCCAATTGAATCATTGCTGATATTTCAGCTACTGGATCATTTTTAATAATGTAATATTTTCTTTAGAAGTGGAAAGTAGGGCTGGCCCGGTGGTGCACTGGATAAGTGCGCCGCTTGGGAAGCGCGGCGGTGCTCCCGCCCGAGGGTTCGGATCCCACATACAGACCGGTTCCCGCTCACTGGCTGAGTGAGGCGCGGGGGCAACGCCGAGGGTTGCAATCCCATTGCCGGTCCCCGGTCCGGTACGGGGGCAACACTGAGGGGTGCGATCCGCTGCCGGACACGGAAAAAGACAAAAGACAGAAAAAAGAAAAAAAAAAAAAAAAAAAAAGAAGAAGGGGAAAGAAAATTACTATGGTGAAATAGCTTTAAATATTCAGTGATTAAGTCAGCCAATCCTAGTATTTCTCTGGCACCTAATAAAGTTGAATGTTTATTACATAACACCTTTTCCAATTTCTACAGAATCTTTTGAGCATATGAAGAAATCTGGGGATTATTATGTTACAGTTGTAGAAGATGTGACTCTAGGACAGATTGTTGCTACAGCAACTCTGATTGTAGAACATAAATTCATCCATTCCTGTGCTAAGGTATGTGCTCACATTAATGCTTGAGTAAAATGGACAGGTGTTTTCTAGCAAAACTGACTTTGAGTTTCCATTAGGCAAATCTATTTTCTATTTCTTGTTGCTTCTTAGAAATCCCTTACTAACAGGCATTTATTTCCTCAGTGTGTTCTAAGAGCTATAAGAAAACATATTGACAGTATGAATTGTTAAAATTGTTCTATAAGGTGTTAGACTTGGTATAGTCAGAGAGAAACCAAGTCAGTAGCATGCAATTTAGCAGTGATGTTTAGAATCCCTAATGTTATTTTTTTTTCAAAAACAATTATATATATATATATATATGACTTTTTTCATCTGTTCAAACATGAGAAGACCCTTCAGGTAAATTTTTGTAGACCTTCTATACGTTTTTTATACCCTAATGCAGTTAGAACCACATTTTTATACTGGGTTTGGATTCTTTAAGGATTTATAAAGGTCTATACTTTCTTGTTTTGTGTCCACTTTATATTAATTAGATCAAGCTTGAGTTAATCTGATAGTTTCACAAATATTAAAGGAGCTTTAAGAATGATTAAAGACAAAAAGGTATTATGTACCCATTTTATTGAGGAATGCTGACTACTCCTAAGTAGTTTGAATTGATGTAAAGACCTTTTACAGAATAATTTTGGCCATATTTTCAAAAAGGTTGATGGTCTTTAGTGTCAACGTGAATCTTAAAACTTATTTTTAAAGAGAGTGTAAGATGAGTTTAGTGTACTTCTTATTTATTAATGGACTGAAGATTACTAGACAGTATTTGAAACCAGATAAAAATGCTCTCATGATTTAAAAGCTTATCAATTTAAAATTTGAATATTTAAGCGAATACAATGGGAATGGCAATGCTCTAAATCTATTTCTAATAAAAACTGAAGTTTTATATAACATGAATGTTACTGAAGTCCATTTTTATTAATAAATGCTGTCTTTTTACTCTCCCCCCTTTTAAATTCCAGGTTATTATCAACCCTTACTTTGCTAAGCAAGAAACTGAACTGTTATAAGATTACCCTTGAATGTCTACCACAAAATGTTGGTTTCTATAAAAAGTTTGGATATACGGTATCTGAAGAAAATTACATGTGTCGGAGGTTTCTAAAGTAAAAATATTTTAAGACAGTTGTCAAAGGAGATAATACTACATATTCTTTCTAGAGTTAAAATATTTTGCTGCAACCCAGAGACCTCCATAAATGACTGAAAGAAAACATTGTAATACTACAAGTATGACATTTAGAAGATTACTTTGGGGTGGTGGAATATGCTGTGAATTTAGATTACAAATGAATATTATAAAGGGGATGATTTTTAACCAAAGGAATATATTTTTAACTTGAATCTTTTCTTGCATTGTATTTTTGTAACGTTTGGCTTCATTTCCTGGTGTCAAGAGTATGGGTAGTAAGGAGTTATATGTCTGCTATCTGTTCTGCTCATTTTTAAAAAAAGTATACATTGAATAAGGCTGTTTCTTATCACATTTATAAAATTAAATATTTTTGTTTCAAAGAAACAGCTAAATACACTTAAAGGTGTATCATTTCCCACATATTAATTATGTAAAGTTGGATACATTAGTTATAAATTATAACTAAATATAGTACAGTCTAACATTTCCTGTTCCTAATACTGGCAAACAACCTGACGGCCTTTTAAAGAAGCAGAGGAAATGAAAATTAACTTATAAAATGTGACAGGATTCAAAGTAAAACAATTTAGAGGTTTTAGTTCTGTGTATACGAAGTCACCTGTCTTATCTTTAAAATATAATCACTCATTTGTTAGAAACACCTAAGAGCAAGTAAGATGGGACATCTAAAGTACTACTTAACAGTGAATTAGAAAATCTTGGCATATTTTTTACCCCAATTTCTCTTTTCATGGGTATCTGAAGGCTCTCTTGTAATATTTTTATTTTTAAAAAATGGAATATTACAAAATTGAGGACTATTTGAAAATGTATCTTACTGCATTTGTCACATTCTTACTATGTTAATAGAAGCTTTTCTACTCAATGTGATTGTAATGGTACTATTATTCTAGTCACTGTCCTGGTTTTGCATTTATTTATTTTAATTATTTTTTAAAGTTGAAATAAGAATTGGATACTTTACTAATGGTTCTAATTTTCTGCATTCCACATTACATTAAACCTGTTCATATGATGAATAGTCTTCTGTTAGAATCATGTCTGTACTTATTCTTGAGTCTTTTGTGTATTCTTTGTAAAATGAAGTTGGAAAGTAAAGACTACCTATTTCTCATCCCTTTGACTCTCACACTAACTACTACCTCAACTGGATTCTGGATTTCCCTCCATGTAGTCAGCTAAAGATGGCTTTCTAAAACAACAGAAATCCCTCACCAACAGAGAGTGTACTACTTATGAGCTGACGACCTTTGCAGATGAACTAACTGATCTGTCTCTACTGAAAGCAACTAAGCCATGACAGTAGCTTCATTAGATAAATTCTGGTAATAAAAAACACATATTAAAAAATAAACCTAGCATAAGACAAAATTAAATGCTTTATTATATTTCTTATTAATAATTTGAGGTAAAATTGTTTACAAGGTTGGTATTTCAATAAGTACCAACCTCTTAAATACCTCTTATAGGAAACGGTTATAGATAAGGTATAAAAATAAAATCGTGTCACTGAGGAGAATAGTGATTAGCTTTAGTTAAGAGTATGTTTTATGATTTTCTAAGCCACTGAGTAAACTTGAGTAAGAAAAAAAGTTGCCTAAAATATTTCTTAATATATGAACTATATCAATGCATTTATTTTTTTGAGCATTGTTTGCTTTTGAAAAGGTATAATGAAGTGGCAGTGATTTTACTCTGTCCCATGTGTTTTATGTTTGTATTTCATTGACTCAAAGATATATTGAAACATCTCTGAAAAATATATGAACTATATCACTGCATTTATTTTTTTGAGCATTGTTTGCTTTTGAAAAGGTATAATGAAGTGGCAGTGATTTTACTGTGTCCCATGTGTTTTATGTTTGTATTTCATTGACTCAAAGATATATTGAAACATCTCTGAAATTTGCGTGCATTTTATGATCAAAGGCTTGTCATAGTTTAGTTCAATAGTTTTGGCTTTTTAATGGCATCTAAAATAAATAATGGTGTAGTTGTGATGGGATCTTAGATTTGATGTAACACAGTATGTAGTTAGGCTAAAAGGGGTAAGAGGGTACTATAAAAGCAAGTATTTTTTTAATGGGCTGGAAGCTGTTTTGTGGATGACCTACCCTTTCCTTCAGACACAAATTCCCTCACTTCCAACTCTAAATTTCCTCAACTAATCCTTAAAATATATTTACTTGAGCTGGAATTTGGGGCTTGCAGGGACTACTGACCATAATTTTGTGTGTGTGTGATCATTGTTTTGGAGGATACTCTTAAATGCTTCTCGATATTCAGTGTTTAATCACCCTTCTTAATCTGTGGGAGAATAAAATTGGGTTACTTTTACCCAGAAGACAGGAATCTAAAGTTGTTCTGAGGCACAAGCAGTATGAATGAGCTTTTCAATCTTTTTGAGGTATAATGGCACAACAGTTTTAATACAACCACCAATCTTCACAAAATAATTTTAATACTTTGTGCCTGGGCTAGCAGCATCTTGCACTGTGACATTCCTATACATACATAAGCATTTTATCAAGTACAAATGTTAAAAGCAGAGTGACATAAGCAATTGCCTATACAAAGGTAAATAGACACTGTAGGTTATTTTTCTTGAATCATTTTTGCTGCATAGTAAATTGCAATTACATGTCAGTATAATGTTACTGATCTATAGAATACACTTTGAACTGTGAGGTATGGCAGCTCTCTAAGAGAGAGAGCTAACATGTAAACCTGAATATTTTGAGTGATTTTTTTTTTTTAGCTGCCATGGATGGGAAAGACAAAAAAAAAAAGTAAAATAAAATAAAATTCCAGCATTTGAAGACCCTAGAAACTTATTTTTCTAATCAATTAAAAAAAATTAATAATTCTCATCTATTTCCTATCATTTCCTTACTGGAGCATTGTTAAATGGACAAAGATAAAGTAAATACTGAAGTGAAGCTATGTTTGTTATGAAATTATGGATTAAACCAGTAATTAAAAAAAAAATCCGCCAGGTAACTGCTCATTTACTTTACATCAAGTTGAGATCCTGATACATACATCTCAACTTTATAATTCAAGATTGCAGTTAAATACTTCTAATTCACTTGAATTATCATGGTAAGAAGACAATTAGAAACCTTATATTTTCATAAAAAGGACATGCTTAACATTTTCTGACATTACTTCTAAACTCAGATAAAGCACAAAATCCCCCCCCAAAATATTCTGCTCTAAAAGTTAAGTGGTTAAGAGTTGGTAGCAAAAGGTATCATGGTTTAACATTTCCACCATAGAGTAGATACAAATAAAGGTAACTGCTGTTTAAACATCTAATAGATAAGAAGTTAACATGAACCAGTTAACTGAAGTTAGAAAGTAAGAATATTGCCATTCCAGTTTGAATATTTTCTATTTAAGTTTCATACTTTCAAAATGGACAGTAATGCGGTTTCCCTAGGTTTTGATGCAATTTCACTTTAAATTCTGTGCCCAGATTACATATTTAGCGTTAAAATTGGGTGGTTACTCATACATTATTCAAATACATGAAAATAAATCATGACTGATTAATCATAGTTAACTATCACAAAATATCAGTCAAAATAAAGGGATCACTGAAATGGGACCAAATAGAAATAATAAATAGGAAGAGCTACCAGAAGAACTAGTTAAACATTTGACGGACAAATACATCCAAAAAAACCCCCAAACTTGCAGTGCTCTTATATGAAGGAAAGAATAAACCTCACGTTTTGTCCACATTAATATTGTACTGAAGATGACAGCAGTCCCCTTTTCTGGTGTTTGTGAGAGACTGTCCTTAATATACAGTGCTGGGCAGACACTTTAGTGGCAACAAAAATTACAGAGGTTAGAAAATGGAAAATTATCAGTTATAAATTAGTATCAGTAACCAAATCTGTATTTTTGGCCACACTACTAGAGAGAATATGCACTTTAGTGGCAACAAAAATTACAGAGGTTAGAAAATGGAAAATTACCAGTTATAAATTAGTATCAGTAACCAAATCTGTATTTTTGGCCACACTACTAGAGAGAATATGATGGTTTACAAAACTAATTTATTAAAATATTAACTGCCTCATTTCAAAAATCATAATTTACTATTAAGATTCTTTTAAGCAGAATTTCTGCTGAGTGAAGAATCATAGATCATTATTTAATTGTAAAGGAGATCTTCACTTCCAATAGTGATCTGTATACAGGAAAGCTGTGTACATTACCAACTGGAATTTTTGAACACCTAAGGCAAATCTTGACTCCACTAGACCACTACACCAAATGACCTAATTACACAACAGAATACTGGACCACAATGGGATTGGCAATATGCTGTTTTCAGAGTGGTGAGACAGGAGAAGGGAAGGGAAATCAGAAGAGGAATACTACCTGGGTTAACAGGGATTAACTGTTAATTAACAAACAATTTTAATTAATTTCCACTTCCCCGCTATGCTGGATAAAAAAGCTTTTACTGTATTATTACATCATAGGGAGGAAAACAAAGCAAGTAACTTGGTGTAATAGGTTACCTTGCATAGTACCTCTTGGTACCAAGGGAATGTATGGAAATCATTCCCATCAGAAAGCACCTCAAGAGAGGACTGAGAACAGTGAAATACAAAGAAGTTTTGTTTGTGCTACCATAAAGTTATTAACTAGAAAAAGTTTAAAACACTCCTCTATTCCCTTACATCATATTTAAAATAGCAAACATTTTTCATAGAACAATTTTTATATATATAAATAAACACATGGAGAACCAAGGATCCATAAAGTGACTCTGCTAAATCAAATTATGGAAGAAATTTGGATTAACTCAATGTAAAGAACTGATTAAATACTAATTTAAAATACACTAAAGTCTCCCCAAAATCACTTTCCCCAATAAATGTATCTTCAAAGAAAAGCTTCTGTCTGAGCTGGCACAATCTCTCAGAATCATTAAGACAACATAAAATGAAGGAGTATATGTTCCTATTCCAAATAATTTACTAAGGTTTCTTCAAGCCTCATATGTTCAGTTTAAACTAAACTATGGTTTAAAAAGAAATTGCAGAAAAATGCTAAGAACTTTTCACTGTTCTACATGTTAATTTAGAGGTCATGAGGACTTAAAAAAAAATTTTTTTTAAATGATGCAAGGCACTTTTCTTTTTTTGGGCTTCATTTAGAAGGAAAATAGTGCTACATTGGCTTATATTCTATTTAGAACCATTTTGGACAAAGGAAAAAAAGAGCTAGGCAACTCTGAAAAGAACAAATACAACATTTGGCTTTTGCCCTAAAAAATACGAACAGGAAAGTCACTTGGAAGTCTAACACTATCCTTGCTCTTAAGCCTATGGTACTATAAAGCAAAACATCTTCCTTTGATCATTAAACAAACTAGGAAGGTAATAGGAAAGGAAGCAGTAATTGGATGTTAAAGTAAGGATAGTTAGCTAATGTTATGATTGTAAGATTATTAAGACCAAGAAGTTAAAAAATGATAATTAAGCTATTGGATTATACTAAAAAAGAAACGTGGTAGATTCCTACATTTTGTTAATATTTCTGTAAGAGGCTCGATCATAAAACTGAACTGTAAAATTATTCTTAAAATGTAATATATAACACAAAATGAATTTTCAGCAAACTTTATGAAATTCTTTTGTTATAAATTACCCAAACTTTATAAACAAATCCCCCCTAACTTGCATTTTGCTTAAAGTAATAACTTTATATCATACAAATAAATTTCAAGTATGAAAAGTGCATTATTGCAATAATACCTCTTTGTAAGTCCAAAATTCTTGGTTTATAATAAAACTGTAAAGTGTTTAAAAAAAAAAGAAGAAATAAAACCATCAGTGCCATCTATTCATCTATTGCAAAAGTCCAACATCTTCTTAAAATGTTGCTCAACAAGTTGTAGAGAAACATGTCTGGAAGCAACATATAATTGAAAAGAAACTACTTGTGTTTTTACCATTTTACATTATTGTTGTCTTGACTACTTTCTCCTCAAATAGAAATTCACACCCTCTATAATGTTGCTCTTCAGTCAGCCATTCTGTGCAGTCGCCACTTGCATGTTTCCCAAATCATCTTCTTCTTCATGTGTTCTCTTCAAACTGCCTAAAAGTTATTGCATGAAGATAACACAAAATGGGAAATTAAATAAATTCATGTTAGAATGTTACAGCCAGTAAAAATTTGTTTTTCATAGAGCGATACCACATATACACTATAAGAATTCCATGACTGAATTTACAGCAAACATTAGTACAGTCATCCCTCGGTATCCACGGGGATTGGTTCCAAGAACTACCTCAGATACCAAAATATGTGGATGCTCAAGTCCTTGACATAAAATGGCAAAGTATTTGCACAGAAACTATGCACATCATCCCATATACTTTAAATAATCTAGATTATTTATGATACCTAATACAATGTAAATGCTATGTAAATATTTGTTATGCTATATTGTTTAGGGAATAATGACAAGGAAAAAGTCTGTACATGTTCAGTACAGACACGATTTCTTTTTCCAAATATTTTCACTATGGGGTTGGTTGCAGCCACATATATGGAACTCACAGACACAGAGTGCTTGACTGTAAATTCTTTCATTATAAATTATCCAAATAACTTTTTATCTTCATGACAGGATATATTTTCTCTCCTGAAAATTAACTATGTTTTAGGTATTGCATATAATAAACATTAATTTTGTATTTATTTATTTTTGGTGTCTGGCTGACACAGGGATCAAACCCTGGACTTTCGTGTTAACAACACCATGCTCAAGCCAACTGAGCTAACCGGCCAGCCCTTTAATGTTTTAAAACGTGTGAAAATAGAACTTTTAAAAATATAATGGTACATAAATATTTGTTTACCAAACTTATGCTTTATAGGCACCATGAACATGTGGCTTAGGATATACCATTTAACAAACAAATCTTGTACCATTTTTTGTAGATATAATTATCTTTTGCTTTCTAAGACTGCTATGAAGAGCAGCTATAAATATTTTCCCACTGAAGCTGTAGTTCTATTACCAACAAGTCTAAGGTTGGGAGAAAGAAAGGCATGTAGCAGATAAAGAATTTTTTAAATCTGTTCTTCACATCAGAGTCTGCTAGCACAAAAATTTCCTACATAGAATCAAAGCTATCCCTATGTACCCAAAAGTTGTAATCAAGAAATTTGAGTCTCAATGGAGGAAAACTTTAGGCAACAGTTAAACTGGTAGAGGGTGTGCAGTGTTTATTTGCCTACCAATGGCATGGCCTTACACTTATGCCCTAAAGGATGTGCTAAATCATGGTAATAAAATTAATTCAGAGGAAAGATTCTAATATGAAGCTAGTTTCACTATAAGATTAATAAAATAAGGATAAAAATATAATATCAATACAATAGAATAAAGGAGAAGGAAATATCCTAGCCATAAGGCTAAATACAGATGCTGTGACTGAATTTCAGATGAAGTGCTACTCTTCTATGGGAACTCTGAGTGACTAGGAGTTGGAAGAAGAGTGTTAATTGTCATGTTTTCCTGAGTAGATGACATAGGGAGACTGAATGTATGCATTTTAGGTGAAGAAAAGAAGACACACAGGAAACCATCAGTTGTTCAGTTTTCTGGAGTAGATATAAAGAGGCACAATGAGAAAAACAAATGGAAAAATCAGAAGGGCCTTTATTACCTGTGGCATGCAATACATTTTCTTCTGTAGGAATAAAGCCAATGAAGGCTTTGGCAAAGGAAAAGTATAATTATTAGAAATATCTTCTGTAAAAATAGGTCTGGCCATACATACGGAACAGAACAAAATAACAAGAGTTTTTGCACAGGAGGCCAATACGGACCTGAACTAGATTGGGATTAAGGTTACTACTAAAAAAAAGGAAAGGAATTTTAACCTAAAGGACTTGGAAACTGATTAGATAGAGGTGGCAAAGGAATGAAGAGTCAATGTAAACTAGGAAGTTGAGCCTGAGAGATGAATATATAGTCTTAATACGACAGGCAAAACTGTGGAAAGACTTCTGGACTTGCAGATCAGATCATTTGTGCTCAATTTCCAGGTTTACACTAACTAGGCGTATAAACTGTTCTTCCTACTTTATAAGGCTGTTGGTTCAAAAAAAAAAATGAAATGAACTAAGGGGCAGATAAACTGTAAATAAAGAAGTGCCATGAGTGTTCTAGTAAAGACAAAGGAAATAAGACAAGGGCAGCAAAGTCTTGGAAAAGGAAGGTAAAAGTTAAAAGATTTTGAGAGAATGCTTGAATTGTTAACTTTGAAAGTGTTGGGGGATGGGTACTTTTGAAACGGTGAAGGAGTGGAGAAAGGATCATAATACTGATGGCAAAAAAGAAATTGAGGAAGCTTATATTAGTCATTCTACTGAATTTGAAACATGCTCTCACTTATTAACTACCCTTTATTTTTAATAAGATCACCTAAGTGTGTTTTGGACCCCTTCTCCAGATTCCTCTTATTATTTTAATCTTTGCAACACAGTATACTACTTATGAGACTTAAAACTAAACCAAGTAGATACTTGGTCTTCCAACCAGCATACTCTAATTATCTAGGCACGGTGGTGTACACACAGCAGCTCATTATAAATACATTTATTCATTATAAAATTAATCCTTTTGAAAATATCTTGTTTTAACTCAATAGTTTACCCAATGTTTTCTAAACAATTTAAATTGTTCAGGGTAACTTGTACAGACCAAAAGATGCTTCTTTTCCACCTTCCTTATCATTATCTTTCCCCCCAACTTCCTCCAAAAAGAAAAAAATAATCCTTACCTGTGGTACCAGAATGAACAGATAATGACCTTTCTATCTGGAGTGGTGACATCATCTGTATTGTTAATTTTGCTAGGTAGATGGCTTCATATTCCTAAAAAAATTTTAACTAACTTGAATATACACTTACATTCTTGGATATCCCAGTGATTAATGTGTGCATTACCGGTATTCTTAGTTTACACGAAAAAATCTAGTGCCATATTAAGAGACATGGAGGTTTAAAATTACTATCTCATAATTTCACAACTACTGATAACTATAAATCAAATCAGGCCAATATCTTGCATTAGGGTCAGTATGTGTCCTGTGCCGCTCGGGCATTAGTTATAATGATCTCTAACTCCATCTGTTTTAAAAAACAAACCAAAAATGGTAAACTGGCAATCTTATAAAATGGTAGTAAGAATAAAATGAAATAATAAAGTTCAGTAAAAATGAAATGCTGTACTGTTACAAAATATTTTAAAAATCAGAATAAGGCATTTCAAAAAGTTCATGGAAGGTTTGTAATATTTTTTAATTCTATTTTTCCACAAACCTTTTGAAGTACCCTCATGTATTCAAGTATATACTTGGTATCCTAATTCCTTAAAAATAGTCTTCTGTTTCCAGTTGAAGATAGAGGAATAAAGACATTTCTGTTCCTCTCCCCTTTACGAAAACAAGGAAAACAATAAAACCAGGAAACATTCATAACCCTGAATAGGAGAAGAATGAGGAGAAAAGTAAGGAAATGGTCACCAAATAGGTCAGCATAGTGTTTACCTTTACAAAGGTAGAAAGAGTTGTATTTCGGAAGGGGCATCAAGAGGGCTTTTGGGGTCCTTGAGGAGAAAAGTAAGGAAATGGTCACCAAATAGGTCAGCATAGTGTTTGCCTTTACAAAGGTAGAAAGAGTTGTATTTCGGAAGGGGCATCAAGAGGGCTTTTGGGGTCCTAGCAAATGTTCAATTTCCTGACCTGGGTGATGGTTATGTGGATGTTTGTTTATATTTTATGTATTTTTCTATATGTGAATTATATTTCACAATAAAAGTAATTTTTCATGGACCCAGACTAAGCTGGGCACAGAAGACGCCTGCCTGTACAGAACACCAGGTAGAGTAGTGTTCATAGTTCTTCAAAACAGGTGGCAGATCTAAGAAAACCAACAAGGCTTTGTGTGATATGATAAAGTTAGGAAGTATGAGTGGACTGTGGGAGGAGGCAGGACATATTAAGGAAAATATGAACAACTGCACCTGCCATTTTTGCAGGAAGCAGGGTATTCGTAACGTGTAGGAGAAACTGGGTTGCATATAGCCACGCATCTGCTAATCTTGGTTAGCTAAAAGTAAAGGTTAAACCAGTAATTCTAAAACTTGGCTATACATGAGAATCACCTGAAGCACTTTACAACATATAAGGGTACTTCAAAAGTTCCTGGAAAAATAGAATCAAAAGATAACACAAATCTTTCCATGAACTTTTTGAAGTATTCTCATAGATATCTAGGCTCCACCCTCAGTGATTCTCATTTAATTGTCATGGGTAAGCCACCCCCCACCCCCTGACACCCAGCCCTAGGTAATTCTAATGTGCATCCACAATTTAAACAAAATAAACCTGTGATATAAGGAGCTCTGCTTTTTACTGAGAGAGTCATGCCACCAGAGAAAAGTGTTAGTGAGAAAGTCTTCCAGGACAACTGGGAAATCTGCCTTCCCCAACCACTCCTCTGGCCCCTTTCCCGCAACTTTATTCTTGGACAAATAACTGCTAATAAGAAGAAAAATGCCTCCAGTTCAAAGATGAACAATAATCAGAAAGGAACCATTGTAGATCTTATGCAAAGATGTTGCAAGAAAAAAAAGCAAAGCAAAGCAATGTTATAACCAAAAAGCATAAGCAACACACGATGAAGTGGATGAAAATTATGAACAAATTAATTCTCTAAGAAATTAAAGCAAATATGTCTGTTATGGACTGAATGTTTG